GCTTGTCCCTGTGTCAACAAGGCAAGTTACCCTTTTCCCCGCTATGGTACATTCTACAAAGGGTCCAGACTGATCAACGGGTAAGAGTGGTGAAAGGATGAAGTTACTATCCCTCAGGCGGTCCTAATATTGAGATAAAGAATTTTGGGGAAGAGGCAGGGAAAACTGCTGATGTTGTTGATTTGCAGAGTTTCCCGTTGAAGGGGTAGAGGTAGGCAGTCTGTTGGGACATTCTCTTTTCCAATGACCAGTTTGACCACAGTAAAAACAGGAAGAATGGTCAATGGAGGAGACATTTGTCTGCCAGCACCCACGTCCGCTGCCTCATGAATTCCCTTTTCTCCGTCCTCGTCCTCTGGGGTAATAGGTTTGAAGTTGGAAAGCCATTAACTTGGCTTCACTATTTTCTTTCTTTCTTTCCTGACATGCTAAACAATGGTTGGCAACCATAACTAGTTCGTTTAATGGTTTTGTTTGTCAGCCCACACAGATGTTACACAATTGGTCTCTTAATTTAGGATGTAGGCCTTGGACAAATGCGGCTGCAATTGCTTCTCGAGTGTTTTGGGTAGCTTCATCTATTCCTGAGTGTCTTTCAAAAACTTCTTTGAGTCAGTCTAAATAGTCTGCTGGAGACTCTCCTTTATTCTGTTTACAATTATTAATCTTAGCCCAATCAGTTTTCTTAGGACATATGACAGATATGGCTTCTAATAACTGGCGTTGGGCGGTTGCGAGATCTGTCCCATGACCAGGGTCTTGCTGTGGCCAGTCTGCCTCATGTTAAGCATTGTCGGACTTCAGAAGGAAGTATGGCATGCAAAAGTTGGTTCATATCAGACCATGTAGGGTTGTAACAGTTAATAACGGTTTGGAGCTCATCTTTAAACTTCTGGGGCTTTTCTCTGATGTTAGGAAATTCTTTAACTAGATTTCTTAAATCCCCAGGTGTCCAAGGGGCATGTACCATTACCAAACCTTGTGCACCTGGTAATTGGCGCAACGGTACTTGAATAATAGGGCCCTTTTTAGGGCGACTGTTATTTAAACCCACAGGGGAAAATGAGTCTGTAGAAGAGCCCTCCGGACTACAAAGTGGAGTTTCCAATTCAGGTGGAAGGCGTTCAGGGTTAAGTGGTGGTTGGGTCAAACAAGAAATACTTTCTAAAATATCTTCTACAGATTCATTCTCAGTCTCGGTCTCATGAGTTAGTTGGGGATATAAAGGAGTAGGAGGTGCTGAGGGATGATTAGCCTGGCCAGGGCTGTATCCATTTTTCAATTGCTTAATTTCTGCTTTTA